TATACACCTTGAAATTGATCCCCATTTGTTTCAAACAAAACTAGATCGATATATAAACACAATATATAAAAATAACCTCGAAATTATTTTTATATAATTTCTGGTGAATTTTCGAACCTACTGCCAGATTCAAAATCCAAACTGTTTTCTTTAACTTCATTCTTAGGTTCTTCATCAATTCTTACAATCAATTCATTAAAATCACTTAACTCTTCAAAACCCATAAAACACAAGAATAAAAATCCCCTTCATCAACTCAAGATGAACTTGAACATGAAACCCTAGTAATATTCATGTCAAAATGTAGAGAATTGAACGTAGAACATTTTTCCTAATCACACCTAAGTCTAATTCTCAACAAGATTGCTTCAAAATTCAAAACAGGAATACCTACCTTGCAAGCTTGGGGGTGTCGGTCTTGGATGAAGAAGAAGCTGAAATTGCTCTTCCATGATTGATATTTTATGATATAATAAATCTAACACATGCTTAATAATATATCATATAATTTTTTTATTCAACACCATAGGAAATTCCACTTTTGCCATTAATGAATCTCCATAATCACCATAAAACCAATCCATCTGATCATTATCATATTAAAAAGTCAAACATGAATTAATTTGACTTTGACCTACGAAAATGCCATGAAATTTTCAAAACTTGCTTTTTAGTCACTAAATTCCACTGTTTCGGTTAAATCTAAAAAATTGCACATTTCCAAACCAATTTCTCTGATCCAAAATATTAAAATAATATTTCCAACCATTTTATAACATCCTTCCAATTTTTGTAAAATTCCAATTTGATCTGAATTACCGATTCCTTATCGGCTTTAACCCTTTCTAACTTTTCTTTACTAAAATTCCAAATCCAAAAATATGATTTCTATAAAACTCCACTCTCAAGAGTAAACCATCTATTTATGGAATAAAATTCTTTTTAGGAAATTTATCACTTAATTCCCTAAATATTTTCCCAATTTTCTACTTTGACCATCCAACTTTCAAAATTTTCATTTTGGTCATTGTCTAAATTTTTGGGGTATTACAGCTACAACTTCCACCCATTTGGATACATAGTCTACAACAACTAGAATAAAAAAGTTGCCACATGAAAAAGGGTATGGACCCATAAAGTCTAATCCCTACACATCAAATAACTCAATCTCCAAAATAGGTTGCATTGGCATTTCATTTCACCGAGAAATATTCCCAGTTCACTAGAAGTTATCACAATGCTTTATAAAGTCATTAGTATCTTTAAAAAATGACTACCAATAATATTCACATTGAAGCACTTTTGCTGCTTTGCGCATACCACCAAAATGTCCTCCATATAGGGCATTATGACAATGTTGCAGAATGATCTACTGCTCACATGGAGGGATACAGGCCACATAAGTTTATCATTATATTGCTTAAATAAATACGACTCCTCCTAGTGGTATTGCTTTACATTCCACATAGATTTCCTTTGGCCTTGATAATTTAGGTCTGGTAGTATCATCCCACTAACTAGATAGTTAGCAAAATCAACATACCATGGTAATGCTGTAACGGCTAACAGACGCTCATCAGGGAATTCATCTGGAATTATTACAATGCTGCCATATTCGCTGCATGATTCTAACCTAGACAAGTGATCAACCACCTTATTTTCAGATACTTTCTTACTGCAATCTCAATGTCAAATTCCTGAAGTAAATGCACTCATCAGATTAAACAAGGTTTTGTATCTTTCTTGGCAAATAAATGCTTCAGCGTTGAGTGATCAATATAGATAATCACTTTCGTGCCTACAAGATATGAACGAAATTTATTGAAAGAAAACACCACATCAAGCAACTCGTTTTCAGCTGTGGTGTAATTGACCTGGATTTTATTTAATGTCCTACTTCCATAATGTATGGCGTGAAACATTTTATCGTTTTGTTGCCCCAGCGCTGCTCCTACAGTGAAGTCTCTATTATCATAAATTAATTTAAAGGGAAAAGTACAATATCGTGTTGTAATAACATGGGCATTCATTAGCTTCAATTTAATTGTCTCAAAAGATTAAAACACTTTGTCATCAACAACGAACTTCTTGTTTTGCTCTAGCAATTAGCACAATGGCTTAGCAATCTGAGAGAAATCTTTAATAAATCTTCTATAGAAACCAACATGACTAAGAAAGATTTGAACTTCCTTCACATTAGTAGGTGGTGGAAATTTCTCAATAAATTCTACTTTTGTTTTACCCACTTCAATGCGATGGCTTAAAATTCGATGCCTTAGCACTATGCCCTCTGTGGCCATAAAATGACATTTTCCCATTTCAAAACTAAGTTGGTATCCTCGTATCTTCTCAAAACTGTAACCAAATTGCTCAAACATTTCTTAAAGTCCTGCCCAATGATTGAAAAATCATCCATAAAAACTTCAAGATAATCCTCAATTATATCAGACGAAATAGCCAATATATAGCGTTAAAATGTCCCTGGAGCATTACATAACCTAAACAACATTCTACGAAAAGCAAAGGTACCATACGGACATGTGAACGTTTTTTTCTCCTAGTCCTCTGGAGCTATAGTAATTTGATTGTAACCATTATATCAATCCAAAATAAAAATAAAAACATTACCAGCAAGTCGATCTAGCATTTGGACTATAAACGACAATAGGAAATGATCTTTCCTTGTTGCTTTGTTGAGCTTTCTATAGTCCATGCATATTCTCCAACCATTAATAGTTCTTGCCGACACTAATTCTTTTTTATCATTTTTCACCACAGTAATGTCACCCTACTTTGGAACGCATTACACAGGACTAACCAAATTATTGTCTGAAATCGGGTATATAATCCCAACATCTAACCATCTGATAATCTTTTTTCTAACCACTTCTTTCATGATCGAATTTAATTTCCGCTGATGTTCAATTAAGCTAATTTTGTGATCCTCCAAATGAATTTTGTGCATGCAAAATGATGAACTAATTCCTTTTATATCATCAATGCTCCATGCAATAGCCTTCTTATGATGCTTCAGCACATCAATCAGTTGGGCTTCTTGTGATGTTGTAAGTTGTGCGGCCACAATGACTGGAAACATCTCATTTTCTCTAAGATAATTATATTTCAAATGCTCTGGCAGAGGTTTCAATTCAAGCTTTGATGGTTCTTCAATAGATGGATTCGGTGCTTGAAGAATATGATTATTCATTTGTAAAGGTTTAATGCTCTCGAGATACTTTCTACAGCATTTAGCTTCTTCATCAGTCAAGAATTCTTTAAATGCTTCTAAATCGCATAAAGCTATATCTGCGCTATAACAGTCCTCCAAATGTTCCCGTACAAAATATCAATCACAATAAGTGAAAAACAATCATCAATGTCATTGATGTAAGAAACATTATTCATGACATTAAAAGTAATGTGTTCATCATTTAAACACATGGTTAGCTCTCCCTTTTCAATATCAATTAACACACGACCTATGGAAAGGAATGGCTAACCGGTAATAATTGGAACATCTTTGTTCTCTTCACAATCTAAAATAATGAAGTCTGTCGAAAAGATAAATGTGTCCACTTGCACAAGCATTTCTCCACAATACCACTAGGATGCACGGTAGAGTGATCAATAAGTTACAAAGTAACCGTAGTGGGTCTTACCTTGCCGCTTCCAAATTTCCTAAAGATTGAGAATGTCATTAGATTTATGCTAGCATTCAAATCACATAAGGCTTTACCTACAAATGTGTCACCAATGTTACAAGGAAAAGTGAAACTCCCCAGATCCTTAAGCTTCAGTGGCAATTGACTTGTAGGCATAGAGCTAAAACCTTCAGTAATAGCGGTTGCCTCAAACTCACCCAACCTTTGTTTCTTCGAAAGGACTATCTTCATGAATTTGATATAATTCAGGCTTTGCTCTAAAACATCAATAAATGGAATGTTAATTGTGAGTTTAATAAAGAACATCAATAAAAACTTTATATTGCTGATATCTCTTTATCTTTTTGAAGTGTTGTGGAAATGGTGGAGGCATTTTTTATTGTTGTTGTCATGGCAATGGAGCCGACTGTGCATTAGATGCAACATGGGTTGTTGTTGGAAACAATTCTGAATTAATACTGTGCCTCGCATCTGTTGATGTGAATTGACTTTTTTGCGGTTCAACCTCAATCTCTTTTCTCTTCCCTTTACTATATTGACGAGTTTCCTCATTCTTTCTCCTCAATTCTTCAATTGGTTCCCCAATATGAATTTAACTTCTTCTGGTAGTGGCCTTGCAATGCTCCTTACAATTTTTCTTAGGGTTCTCAGTGTCGCTAGGGAGAGATCCTAACAATCAACTATTTAAAGCATTAGCCATCTGTCTCGTCTGATTCTCAATGGCCCTTAATGAGGTAGATTGGCTCGTCATATATTATTTTATCATGGATTCAAAAGGTTTAATGTTGGATTTTAGTTCGAAGATTGGCCTTGGTAATTCTGCCTTTGTTGTAGCTAAGCAACATATTATTATGCTTGTGGATGCGTTATTTGACTCTTTTGAGTGTAATATTGCGGTTGATATTGCTGATAGAGTGGATTTGCAACATTCTGACTTCTACAAGAAAGATTGGGATGATTTATGAAATTTGAATTGTATGTATTGCCAAAAGCATTATCATTCCTTGGATAATTCCGCACATAATATATAGACTCCGGATTTTGAGGGCATTCATCAAAATTATGGTCATCGCCACAATATACGCAAGTGATAAGAAATGCTAAAATCTGAGATGCCATGAGCTGAAAGATTCCGAGTCTATTGCTGTAGCACCACGCCGACCAAACATACTGCGCATATTAGGGTATTGGCAATCGTTGGTGGAGATTCTCTTGAGGATATCATACGCTTCATTGTATGTCTTATACAGGAAAGCTCTGTTTGCAGAGGCATCAACCACCATTCAAGTGTGAATATTTAACCCATTATAAAACATCTTCATTTGAGTCAAATGTGGAAATCCATGCATAGGACACTTCCACAGCAAATCTTTAAATATTTCCCACGCTTCATACAAGCTTTCATTGTCCAACTTCTTGAATGAAGTTAAATCATTTTGAAGATTAGCATTCATATTCGGCGGGTTAAATCGCAATAAGAACTTCTGAGCTAATTCATTCCAGGATACTATAGCACCTGGTGGTAGTAAACTCAACTAAACTTGTGCTTTATCACGCAATGAATAAGGAAATAATTTCAGCTTTAGTGCCTCCTCCAAAACACCTTGTTGAATAAAAGAATTGTAAGTCTCCATAAAAGCTCTCAAATGGGCTCTAGGGTCTTCAGTAACAAAACCTCCATATTACCCCATAGATTGCAACATTTGGAACATAACCAACTTTAATTCAAAGTTCGTAGCATTAATAAATAGCCTTAGAATGCCCAGATACAGAGCATCCAGTGTTGGCAACACATACTCATGAATAGGGTGGTTACGATCATCTACATTCTAATATGGTTGCCCAGATCCAATGCCAGTTAGCAACTCATTTTTCTCTTCATTCTGCGACGAGGGTAAAATATCATTCCCTCGTCCAACCATAGCAGCTTCACGGCGATGTCTGTAAAATGTTCTTTCAATCTTTGGATCAAAAGACTCTAAATCGTTGTTGCTTCTAGGGAATACACTAGCAAAAACAGAGACTAAGAATATGTGCAAAAAAAACAAACAAGTAAGAAAAATTAAAAGAACTCTAAATCAAGCCGATGCTCCCCAACAATGGTACTAAAAACCTGATGCTACGTAAGATGCTATAGCATTTAACACAAGTATACATATCAATCAAGCAATAAAGTGGTAACAATTAATGCTATGGATGTCAAACCCACTAGGAGCAAAGTGTTTTCATTAGAGTTTTCAAGAGTAAGATTTACCAAAGATTTGAGATGCTAAAAAGAAAGTAATGAAATCAATAACAAAAGATACCAGTTCATGCTATAGCATTCCATAAAGCAATTGGTCAACTATCGAATCAAAGGATTTAATATTATGACTTCCATGTTTTATGAAAATAGTGTACACTTAATCTATGTGATCAACATTGATTAAAACCATTTGAACTTTAATAACTTTCATTAATTAAAGGCTCACACTATTAACAATACTAATCAATTGGTTGCACATTTTTTAGTATACCTATGCTATTCAAAGACATCAATGCTCACAAACGTATATATCAATTTTAATAAAACTATTTCTAGATTAAAACGAAAATACTATATATAATTGCAAATATTTCTACTCACAATCATGAATTTCAAAGCTCACAAACTAAGTATCCAAGTAAACACAAAATAATGAAATTCATAATAAACATCCAACAAAAGTTTAAACATTCGAATCACTCTCTCTCTCAATAGAAGGCATTGAATGGTGATCTGCTGACCGCTAAAGCTCTTCGTCAAGTTTTCCTTGTGCTGCAGTAATCCCTGGTAGATGACTTAGGCTTCCGTGGCTTCAAAAGAATTAACGTGGAAAATGGTACTTTGGATCTCTTACAATTGTCACACTTTTGCACCAAAGTACTCCATTTTTATAGCTTAGATGAGAATTTCATCGCCCAATAGGAAAGCTCCACATTTCAGTTATTATCCAGCCACATGACAACTACTTGAGCCAACTATCCCGATGTAGAAGATTCTCCCAATCGTCTATAGTTTAGATGGCCGCTACAACATCCAATAAGTATTTCCTACAGTGCTACGACATCAGTGCAACAATTTTAAGCAACAAAAATCAATTTTAGCTCTTCGCAACCCACAATTCTCATTCCATACAAAATATGTAAAATTAAGTAATTTTAATCATAAAATGTTCCTAAACATGCTCAATTTCAAGCTAAACCTAGGTGAAAACGGCTACTAAAAATAACTCTTTTAGAGAGTTATCAAGTGATCGATGAGGGTCCGAGAGAGTTGGGCTTAGAAAGAAATGAATTTTTTTGAGGCTGACTCAAATCATATCGCAGATAATGAAAATAATTGTCAGAAAGTGAATAAAGAGGTTCTGGTAGTATCCTACGTGTCTAGGAAAGATTCTGTTTTTGTGCCAAACGACTTGTCTACCAATTTTAGGTTGCACGAAGTTCCTATATTGTCTGGTAGTGGGTTGTCTCATGCCGATCAGTGGGCTGTGTGTGAAGCATCTATTAACAATTCTGATATGGGACAATTTCTAGTAAGATCCAACATTGCACGTGGGTCTAAAATGCATCTAGTCCCTGTTGAGGTGGTGAGCAATCTTTCTAAATCAATTCAAGGCTAGCCAGGAGAAAAAAAGCCCAACCATATCCTCGTTTAATCTTCAAATAGAATAAATTGTTCTAAATGTAAGTAAGGTTTCCAGTTCCAAAGCAATGCTTAATCCCAAAGATAGGGTTGGTAAAATAAAAAGGAAAATTCATAATTGTTGGTCAAACTTACAGGTGTCATAAATGGCAATAGGAGAAATTGGTTGTCAAATGGTTGACAAGCCAACAACCCAATTGATGGTGCATCCTTTATTGAAAATAAGGAAAGCCAATTAAATGAATTAGTTGGTAGAAATAGAATGAGGGGGCTTCTGCATCTATAAATAGCTCACCCCAATAAGTTTTTAATCAATCCAAGCAAGAAACACAAAAGAAAAACTTAAAGAGAAAAGCTTTAGAGAGAGAAAATTAAGAGCAATTTTCAGGGCGTAATTGGGTTGTGAGTTGTGAGTGTTTTTTGTAAACACCTGTAAATGTTCTCCCTTTAGTAAAAGATCTACAGCAGTATGGAGACGTAGGCATAATTGGCCGAACTCCGTTATCAATTTCATGTGTTATTATTCTGTTTTTATTTCACATTCTCACTAATCTGGTTATAGGGAAATTACTCGTTTAATTTCCTAACAACGGGTATCAAAAGCTTTTGGTGGTGAATTTTGTCAATTTTTTATGCGAGGTTACTATTCACGAGAATAGTGAATTTCGTAAATAGTAAAATTTGGTCGGCGATACGAGTTTGTCGACGGAGGTGTTCTAATACACGTTGGTTCGTAGGAATTGTTAGAAATGATCTAAAAGAAGCTAGATTCGAGTGGGAGCGATGGCTACAGATGAAGGGAATGTGAAAATTGAGAAGTTCTATGGTGTGAACTTTGGCTTTTGGAAGATGCAGATTGAAGATTTATGTACCAGAAAAAGCTATATCAATATCTCTCAAGAAAGTAACCAGAGGGCATGAAGGATGAAGACTGGGCTCTTCTCGATAGACAAGCCCTCAGAGTTATCCGACTAACGTTATCCCGCAATGTTGCTTTCAAGATAGTAAAGGAAAAGACCCTGAGGGGTCTTATGGCGGCTCTCTCCAGTATGTATGAGAAGCCATCGGCCTCAAACAAAGTTCACTTGATGAGGCAATTATTCAATTTACGGATAGCGGAAGGGGTATCAGTGGCTCAACACCTAAATGAACTCAACACAATCACAACCCAGTTGAGTTCCGTGAAAATTGAATTCGATGATGAAGTTCGAGCTTCATTTCTTTTATCACCTCTACTAGACAGTTAGAATGTTACTGTTATAATAGTCAGCAGCTCGTCAGGAACAATAAATTGAAATTCGACGATATTCGGGATCTGGTATTGAGTGAAAAATTTGATAGAGAGAATCGGGTGAAGCATCAAGCTCCTTAGCCTTGCACACAGAGTCTAAAGGGAGAAATTTAGAAAGAAATCCAAATCGTGGCAGATTGAAATCTAGAAGGGAAAATCAAGAACGATAAAGAAAGATTTTAATTGTTATAATTGCGGTAAGAATGGTCACTTTAAAAGAGATTGCCAAGCACTAAAGAAAGATATTGGTGCACAAGAATCTGCCAATATGACAGAGAAAATAGGTGATGTCATGATTTTAAGAGTTAACAATCTGATTGAATCATGGATCTTGGATTTAGGGGCATCTTTCCACGCCACCCCATGCCAAGAAATCATAGAGAACTATGCCAGTGGTTATTTTGGTAATGTTCATCTAGCTGATGATGAAACCTTGAAGATCGTCGAAAAAAGAGGCATCCGATTAAAGTTGCCAAACCAGACCACCTGGAATCTAAAAAGAGTGAGACATATTCCTGGCCTCAAAAAAAATTTGATTTCTGTAGGACAACTTGATGGAGAAGGATATTGTAAAACCTTTTCAGGCTGTGAATGGAAGATTACCAAAGGAGCACTTCTCATTGCTCGTGGTAAGAAGACTGGTACTATCTATGTAACCTCAAACTTGGAGAATATCATTACAGTAGTAGATGTTGATGTAAAATCAAACCTATGGCACCAAAGGCTTGGCCATATGAGCGAGAAAGGGATGAAGACACTTTTGTCAGAAGGGAAACTGTTGGATTTAAAGAGTATAGATATCGGACTATGTGAGGATTTCATCTTTGGAAAATAAAAGAAAATTAGTTTTGCAAAGATTGGCAAGACACCCAAGGCTGAAAAGTTAGAGTTGGTTCATACTGATGTATGGGGACCATCTCCAGTTCATCTCTTGTTGGCTCACTATATTATTTCACATTCATCGATGATTCTATAAGGAATGTGTGTATTTATTTTCTGAAGAATAAATCATAAGTCTTTGATACTTTCAGAAAATGGAAGGCCATGGTGGAAAATGAGATTGGTTTGAAAGTCAAGCGGTTGAGGTCTGATAATGGAGGAGAGTACATATATAGTAGATTCAGAGAATTTTGCGTAAACAATGGGATTAAGATGGAGACAATAGTTCCCATGACACCGCAGCAGAATGGCGTAGCAGAGCATATGAACAAAACTCTTAATGAACGTGCCAGATGCATAAGTATACATGCCGGCTTGCCCAAATTGCTATGGGCTAAAGCTATCAACACTGAAGCTTACCTGATCAACTATGGTCCCTCAGTTCCCTTGGATGGTGGAATACTAGAGGAAGTTTGGAGCAGAAAAGAAATAAACCTCTCACACTTAAGAGTATTTGGTTGTATTTTTTATGTAAATATAAATTCTGCTGAAAGAAGTAAACTTGATGTTAAGTCCAACAAATGTGTCTTTGTTGGTTACGGTGGTAA